TCAGCTTCCACATGCAGCCATTCCTAGATAAAAAAGAAACCTGGCATTTCTAGAGGGGTCACCAAGTTCCCCCAGGTCTACAGCTGAAAGGACGTTTTCCAAGCTCCCCCAGTTCTACAGCTAAAAGGAAGTATTTTTGGAATCAGGTTTCTTCTGTACCTCTGAAAGGGTAACACCTTAAAGCTGAATCATCTTTAACCTGGAGGTCTAACATGATATTTAGCAATACTTGCATCCCAGACATACATTAAAAGATACACTAAATTATGAAGGTAGCTATGCTGCAAAATAGTTTAAAATTAAACGACTGTACAGTATTCATTTATGCTTGAAATTCCATTCCTAGACCATGCTTATGGTCACCGACGTTGACATTCTTGCCATCTAGCAGAGCTGACAGTGTCAGTTTGATACCTGGCTTAGGGTCTGAGTATATCCTAAACCTATCAGACTGGAATTGTTCACTTTAGCAGAGACGGAGGCATCAGAGTCGAGCTAATGATACTTGGTTGCTATTCCAAAGCGAGTGTTACTGTCTCCTTCTGTCCAGGTGAAATTGACAGCAGTCTCTAACTTCTTGTTCACCTTCTGGTAAACAGAGCTGCCAAACTCTGTTCCCTCATTCACATTAGTGTGAAGCTGGAATTCATCAGTCTTGTAGCCAACTGCAAAGTTGCTCTGGGTCACTCGAGGCTTTGCAGTCTCAAAATTCATCTGGTAAACAGCCAGCCAGCCCTCATAACCCCAGCAGCACAGCACCTGAGATTGAAGGCCCAACGATGTCGAAATCCATGTCACAGCCCAGGTTGGTGTGCTCCCACTTGATTTTAGCATTTTCTTCCCCAGTGTTAGGTGAGAAGGAAAAATCAAAGGTCAGTTTCAATCCACGTGCTAGCTGATCTTCCATGGTAATCTCAATGCCTCGTGTGTTGTCAGTATTCCATTTCTCTGTAAACATCAGGCCATATGCCATCCATCTGTACTTGGTTTCCAGACTGCCCATCACTTTGGTGGTCTCAGTGTTGGCTGAGTCTGAGCCTGTGAACTCCAATCCATTCTCTGATTTTGCTTTCAAATCAAGTTTTATTAAGCTAAATCCATAGCCCTTGAAGACATCCCTGACAAATTTGTCAAGATCAACATAATGTGGGAAGCACAGCCATCTTTTGCTCAGAGGCAGAGGCGGTGGGCTCACAGGTGCTACAACAGAGGCTGCAGTGAGGAGGAACTGAGCAGAGCGAGCTCTATTACATTCTTTATAACAGTAACAACTATTTGCTCTTCTGTTTCCTTCAATGGCTTGTTTTTAAGCTTGTTTAAGGTGAGTCTAAGGTGGACTTTACTCCATGGACAGTTTAGCCCCGCTGCTGAGGAATGGCCCTTCCACAGTCTCTACTGAATGTCCCAAATGATCAAGAAGAATTGTATTATGGACAATAGAAACTTGAATGTCTTCCAGCCCTGTGTGAGTCTGGGAATCATTAACATAACAGCTACTAGGTCATTCTTTGCCCACCCTTGTAGAATCTCATCCCATGCATGTATGTTTTACTATTCAGCAAATATTCATGGAGAATCCTATTGCTGCTTACTTTTTCCCATAATTTCCAGTCATCTGTACCTCTCTCAACTTCAATCCCGACCTCCACAATTCAGAAAGACTGCTAAGCTCAGTTTGAGATATCCCACCCTGCTCTTTGTCCTGAAATGTGCCATCAGCCAAAAGACCAGTGTAATCCCAGAGTTCACCTCATTTGTTTTGGGATCACACAGTCCTAGAATATAAATCTAAACTCTGTTACTCCATCATGGCTAGAAGTTAAAGTTCCACACTTTTAATTTATAGTGTTATCTACTAAAACTTACATCATCACACATTTATTTATTTTTATCTTGATAATATTTATTTTTATCTTGATAATATTCAAGGAATCTTTAAAAGACTTCTGTTCTTTTAACTCTATACTCACAATGCTTGACTTAAGAAGCACTGTATAAAAAAGAAAAAAAATTTTTTTTGAAAAAAGTTATCATTTATGCAGTATCCTGCTTTTTGAAGTTTTTGTCTCCATTACAAACATTTTTGTTGAGATCCAAATTAAGGTTCATAAAACACTTAAAAACATAGGGTAAACAGATGTCATAGCTTTTAGAAGATTTCCTTATTTTAAAGGATATACAAGTACAGATTCTCTAGAAGATTATTTACAACTTGTGATAATAGATTATCTTCATATGCGGCATACTTATATTCTGGCTAGTCTGCCCTATGTGACTGTATCACCGAAATAGTGTTGTTCTGCTGTCAACACATTCCCAGCCATCAAGCACATGTTCTCCCTGTAGCCAGCTACTTAACTCTGGTTGATTGAGCTTGAAAGAAGAAAAGTTTTGCTTATTGTTGAATAATTAAAAAGCAAAACCAAATCCAGTGCAATAACAGCAAGCTGTGGCCTTCATGTGACAAAAACACTATATAATTTATTGGGAATGAACTTAAGATGAATACTAGATCATAGGTTGAGAATGTAAACCTTTTTAAACTTTAATACAAATTCAGGCATAAAATTAAGACTAACATTTTTCACTACAACATGCAGTTAAAAAATAAAAACGTACATTTCACAACAGTGTGAATATACTTAACACTACTGAATTGTACACTTATGCATGGTTAAGATGGTAAAAAACAAAAAAACAACAGCTAAAAAAGATATGCAGATGTGCAAAATACCTTACCAAATTCATTAGTTATGAAGCAGTATAAATAATAGTTAAAACAGTGATAATTACATTTAGACACAGATACAAATTCAAAGAAACTATAAAACATGTTTTTAACTTAAAAACAGAGACTACATTTTAATTAAGAATAAAACAGAAACTTTCAAAATTTAATTCTAATTAAAGAAAATGTTCAGCACAGAGCATTCTCAAGAGAAGAGAGAGCACTAAGTTCCCCAGAGAAGTAAAAATGGTGGTATCCAAGGGGGAAAATATAAATAAAGAAAAAATGTCATACTCAGGGATTTCTATCTTCTATAAATGTTCACAGTCCCCAAATAGGGCAAGCACAGGCACTGGTTTGATAGCTATTAATTTTTATGCAAGGTTGAGTAAGAATTTGTATTTCGTGAAATACTGATGTCCTTACACATAAGGAAAATACCTAAAGCATATCTGAGGGTCCTAAAGACAGAAAAGGCAATTATTCACAAGTCTAAAGTAAAGAACTTCAGTTCACATTTTTAATTTGAAACAAAAACAATGTATGTTTTCATATTCCATAAAGAAAGTAATAATTAATAATGGGAAATCATGTTTCCAGCTTTTATTACTTACTACCTCAGATGGGAAAGTATAATAAAAAAGAAAAATAATTCTCAGATAATAACTGATATCATTTGTGAATTGACATATGATTGATATAATGTGAATTTCCATATAAAAGTTTTCCATGCACATACAGACGCATTTCAAAATTTATGATCACATTTTTTATAGAGTTCTATATCATGTATTTTCATTTACATTACAAGCATTTTCTGTCATCCTTATTCCTCCTTAACAATTATTTTAAATTAATTATCAAGTGTGATTTAAACCATAGTACTAAATGGTAAGGCTGGAGGTCAGAACATATGGTTTATATGCATAAGAGGTAAAGTAATTGTTACCAATGGATATTTATTTAATTTACTTTATTAATAGGTGAAATTTATAAACCTTTATGTAAATTATCAGTTCAAGAGGCCTAATACTGGAAAAACAGCGTAGTATCTGAAGGAAATAATATCCAATTTTATGATCAAAACTCAATACAAATTACAGATAATCTTTCTATAATACAAAAACTAAGCATAGACATTTCTGTCAATTAATAAAGAAAATTTCAACACAGTAAAAGGCTTGTGGATGTCGACAGGTAGAAGTTTCATGATTGCATACAATAACCATGATATCATATTTTAGGAAAAGTAATAGAGCACATAATAATAATAGCTATGAATAAAACTCAACAAAAATTTATTTTAGTAAATTGGTTGTTGTTGAATATCATAAGAAAATAATACTAATTCTTCCTCCAAATACATACGTTAGTTTGAACTTCCTTGTATATACATAATCCTATTTTATATTCCTTAAGGTAGGATCATGTCTTATTAATACTTCTGCCCTCAATTCCACTTAGAGCAATCATGCTATAATAGACATTTAATGAGTGATTTTGACTTACTGAAAATATAAAATCTTTATTACTATGTTGAAAATATCTGAGTTATAAGAAATAAAGCTAAACATCTATGGAAAGATATAAAATCACCTGAAAAAAGATGGCCTGTCATACAAATTAGAGGTTAAAGAGAAAAATGTCACGTAAAATGAAATCATAAAGTTGTGTTTTCATTATATACTGACAAATTATAGTTGTTATATATAATTTTTTTTATTACACAAAAGGAAATTAAAGAAATAATTTTATTGAAGAGTATTCATTCTTTATATTTGCATAGCTGATCTAGCTGAGAATGTCAGAGAAAAGGGAAGAAAGAGTACTGAGATAAATTGTGGTTTTCAAGAATCCACTTTAGAAAGGAACATAAGATATGGTCCTCCTTCTGAGCAAAGGGCAAGTTTGCTTACAGCCTTGCAAAGTACACATAGTGCTTGCCTCTAGAGAAAAGGACAGGTATGATTTCTATCCATAAAAAAAGGTTCAGGTTCCCTAAACTCAGGGTTCTTCTCCTGTAACATAATCCGCTCTACAAAGGTGTCAGCTGGTCCTCTTCATGCCCACCCTGTGGGTATTGGGCTCAGGGTACTAACACAAGAAAATGCTAATACTCGATTACTGCTAGTGCTATGTATTAGTAATAAAGTCCTTTGTTTCTGTCCCAGGAGTCTCATGCCTTTAGTAAGCATCCATGAAACTGGCAGGCAAACTTGCTAGCTTAGAGGTACAGTAAAATCATAGACTATTTACAGTTCTAGACACATACCTGTTATTGTTTTTGTTTTAATAGGGCTGCTGGCATATTCAGAGGCCTGATATGATTGCTGCTTTGCCAAGGGTGCACTTCCAACAGACACCTCATCCTCCTTTCTTCTGCTGATTGGCATAACAAGAGGAACAGGCTGCTGAAAAGAGCCAAAATGAAAAACTGAGTGACTGTTTCTTAAGCAGTGAAAGTTAAACATGGCATCATTGAGGACAGTCCATAACAAGTTAGGGTTGAGACTTTATTATTTTAAACCAATCAATCTCTTCCTCCTTCCCTTCCTTTCTTCCTCCTTCTTACTCTCTCTCTCTCTCTCTCTCTCTCTCTCCCCCCCCCTCTCTCTCTCTCACACACACACACACACACAGATGCTATCAACTTAAAATTTTAAATTAAAATTCTGTGTGAAAACCAAGACAGCCTAGAAGTACCTAGTTAAACTAGATAAATTTTAGTAAGAAGTATAAACATAATATGGAAGTTGCAAATAAAAACTAAATTCACTTTGAAAATTATGATTCCAAGAAAATGAAAAGTTATCCTTATAAAATGGTATTTTTAGGAACATACTTTTACAAACTGATATGTACATATTAGTACAGATAGTCTAATTTTTTGAATAAACTCTGAAAAATCTCTATATTTTGTCTGACAAAGTGCTATCAATAGCATATTTAGAAAGCACAGAAAAATATCTATAATTAGAGAAAGCTGGAAAACATTATGATCCTACACTGAATACATGAGTACTGAGCTGGACAATAAAACAGCTGTTTCACCTTTATTCATTTAAATAAAGTCTGATGTTAATACTGATGATGCCCAATAGAATTTTGTCAGATTTTTGGCAAAAAAAAAACAAAGAATTTTTAAATTTACTACAGAATCAAAGATCATAGTGTTGAACTGGGTGGAAAACAATCATCAAATGTTGGGTTTTAGCCATGACTTGAGAAGGAAATTGCAGCACAGGAAACAACAGATGATAACTATATCTGTATCAGATGGTTAGTCTGACGGGAGTTGGTCAGACTGCAGTATAGTCTAATGTTATCCTCAACACCACAACAACCAAAGTTTTATAGATCCAACTTTAAGCCTTGCCCAACTTTTAATAATACTTAATATTATCTACATTATGAATAATATTTCAATGAAAACATGTAACTATGTAATATAATAAATCAAGTTCTGAGATAGAGGGAAAATGGCATATTATTATACAAGTTGATGAGTAAAAGAAGAAGAAATCTGAAAACGAGAAAAAGAAAAGATTAAATATATTGTGGAAACATCACAACAGAGTGCCTGCTTTCATATTGAGTATTTAATCAAACTGATAATACATATATAAATCTAAGAAGGAAACAGTTTTTATGGCCTAGATGAGAAATGCTCAGCATGATGGTAAGTTTTGATTCATTTAAATTTCCTCATCTATAAAACAAGGGGGGGGGGGGTAGAGATGTTTACTGGAAAACCTCTTTAGGCTCTAATACATATAGTGACTAATACAGTGACTCCATAATCCTTGGAATTTCTATCCATCATTTATATACATGAAATGCAATCAAGTACTCTAAGAAATTATAAGGAAGTTCAGGATTAAAAGTAACATATAATAAATAACTAGATATATATGCTGCACAGTGTGATATTCAATTCAAATGTAAATGTATATGCTGCATAGTGTGATATTCAATTCAAGCACAATAACTGAAAGATGAGATTTATGAAGGTCATGGTAGTGGCGATACCAAACAACAAACAAAAATCTTTCTCTCGGTGGCTAAAAGTCTAGGTGTACTTTCATATAAGCAAAAATACATTAAATGGCCAATCAAAAACCCTTTCTAATACGAGAGTAAGCTCTGGTATGTCTGGTACACAGCTGTATTCAAAACACCTATAATGGTGCCCAACAGATTCTCAATAATATATGTTGAAGGGTCACTAATATAGGTGCTGCATGCGTCTGGCATAAAGTGATAATGAATAGAGAGTAAGAACATGATTCCCTCCACTGTTCAGAAAATATGGCTACCTAAGTCAAAAATACAAAAATAAGCAGTATTTATTTTTAGCAACTTCCTGTTGCTCTGCTTACGTTCTTCTTACTTCTGGTATTAGGCATTTCCCCAAACTTTACTTGTACTCTAGCCCATCAATGTCCCATGATCCCAAAATACCTAAAGCCTTTCTTCTTGTTATAAAAGGTGCCCTCCTTTATCATTACTTTAATATATTGTAAAAATACAATGGGATTATAAAACAACATCCATATTCCCATCATAATCATTAATTAACAGCTATTAACATTTTATCATATTTGTGTCTTATTTTTAAAAAGGAGATAGATGAAATACTACAGATAAAGTTAAAATCCTCTTTGAATGCCAATCTATTGCCCTTTCTTCCCAGAGTCAACCACTGCTAGGATATTGGTGCAAGTCCTTCAAATTAATTTTTTTACACCTACATTTACTTACCCACATACACACCTATATTAAGGCTGGTTTTGGAAAAATATATATAAATGCTCTCATATTGCTTATATCCTTGGGAAGTTGCTTTTTGCATCAAACATAATTTTGATAATCCATATTAAGACCTATTTATAATTTTAATAAATATTATGTCATGTGAATATTCCATGCTTTATCCACTTCCTTACAGATTGTCACTTAAGTTTTCTTCAATTTTACACTATTGTAATGAATATGCAGTAACAGTCTTGTACATGATTCCTTATGCTTAAGTGTTACTGTAAAAGCATACCTACCCCAAGAAGTAGAATTTTGAAGTTATAAAATCTGCTCGGTTTCAATTTTATAAGATACTACCAAATTTACCTCTTTTCACTCACAACAGTAGTAACCATTCTCTACACTTTCACCAATACTGCATATTGACATTTTTTCACCCAACAGATTTTAAAAGTGAAGAAGAATGGTTATGAGTTGATAATTACTGAAGTTGGGGATTGGGGACATATGGTTCAACTAGTCTCTCAATTTTCCATGTAAAAATATTTTGTAGAATAAAATAGTACATTAAGCACAAATTTAAAAGTGTAATTTTGAATACTGATGAACTGTAGTAAATAGTAATGTTATAAATTGCTGGTGTGCAAATGTAAATTGACCCCAATTCTGGAAGCATTTGGCAATATAACAACAGTCTTAAAATATAATTTAAAAATCCCAAAATATATGCCTAGAGCTAATTACACATCTAAAAATATATTCTTTTTTGTTTGTTTTTTTTTTTTGTCTTTTGTCTTTTTTCCGTGTCTGGCAACGGATCGCAACCCTCAGTGTTGCCCCCGTACCAGACCGGGGACCGGCAACAGGACCGCAACCCTCGGTGTTGCTCCCGCGCCTCGCTCAGCCAGTGAGCGGGAACCGGTCTGTATGTGGGATCCGAACCCTCGGGCGGGAGCGCCGCTGCGCTTCCCAACCAGGCCGGCCCTAAAAATATAATCTAAGCAAATAAAGGTGAGTGAAAGATTTAGCTATGAAGATATTTACTCCATACTATTTGTAACTCTGAATGAGTAGGATTATGGGTATTTGTTAGTTTACCTTTTAAAGTATTATTTTTTAACTTAGAAAAAATAAACATTTTTTTTTTTCCCCTTTTTTTTGTCTTTTTTCATGACCGGCAACGGATCGCAACCCTCAGTGTTGCGCCCGTACCAGACCGGGACTGGCCACGGGATCGCAACCCTCGGCGTTGCGCCCGCACCTCGCCCAGCCAGTGAGCGGCCGGTCTGTATGTGGGATCCGAACCCTTGGCGGGAGCGCTGCCGCGCTTCCCAAGCGGCGCACTGTAGCAGTGCGCCACCGGGCCGGCCCGAAAAAATATACATATTTAATTTTAAAGTAGTTATAAGATAATATAAAAAAAACAGTTAAAAATCAAAATCCTTGAATATGCTAAGTATCAATTAAATGAATGCCTAATTAACTTAATTAAGCTGCTAGAACACTCCACTTGACCTTCAGGAAATGTATGGTACACTGTAGATATCTGTATCACTTAACAAAATAACTAATCAAGAATTTACAATAAAAATTTTTCTCAGCTGGTTCCTACCATTAGTCTTACTTCTCTATCATCTACATTCTGTTAGAGTAAACTTTCTAAAATCCAAATCTGTTTATATCAGTTTCCTATAGTTCCTCAGTACCTTTCAGGATAAAGTCACAAATATATAGCATTACAAATAAAATACTTAAGGAATTGTTTTCCAATTTCTAATTGTCTATAAGAACAGTTGGCTCCATTCTGGAACCACTAAAGGTCTCTTTCATGCCATAATTTCATATCTTCTTGCCTTTGCTCAAACGATTCAGTTTAGTCCAACCTGTCCTATCTGGCTTACTCCTATAATGCTCTGCTTAACTACTAATTACTCCTTTTTACACCCTCCCTGCTTGTGAAAACTATTCCTCTTTCTTGTTTTCACATAATCCAGGACTTATACCTACACAGCAATTACTAAAAATGGCATTCCTTTTTTCCTTAATATTCTCAAATACACTAAATACGGTTAAAGGGAATATTCTCAACCATGACTTTTATTTCTGTGGCCCTCGTATCTAGCACATTGCCTATATTCTGCAACTACTTGTTAAAAGGAGGAATGGATCAGAGGTAGGGAAGACATCAGTTTCAAATGAAATTACGACAAAGTAAAGAAAAACTTTTAAAAGATGCTCCTTAATTACACTTTCGGTTAATTTTTTATTCTTATGTAATGATAAAGTTGTGTATTTTTCTATCAACTGGCTTTAAGTTACGTCAGGAAAAAAGATACAAACTATGTCAAATAGGATATTACAAAATTACAATCAAGTCAATGGGAAAATACAATTCAATACAGCACAAATGTGTCTTCAAAATTTTGCAGTTCTGGGCCGGCCTGGTGGCGCACTGCTACAGTGCGCCGCTTGGGAGCGCGGTAGCGCTCCTGCCGAGGGTTCGGATCCCACATACAGACCGGTTCCCGCTCACTGGCTGAGCGAGGTGCGGGCGCAACAGCGAGGGTTGCGATCCTGTTGCTGGTCCCGGTCTGGTACGGGCGCGACACTGAGGGTTGCGATCCGTTGCCGGACACACACACACACACACACAAAAAATTTGCAGTTCTGCAATTTACTAGCATGTGACTGCAGGTAAGTAAATCTCAATAAGCACCATTTCTTCATTTTAAAATTGATAATAACAAAACAATTGTCAAAATTACATTTAAGTGTCCTGACATGGAGAGATTTACATTTAAGTATTTTAGAAACTACAATTACCTACTTAGTAATTTATACCCTTTTAAACAAACACATATGTCAACCTTTTTGCATCAACCATTCCCATCCCAGGATGAGGTATTCAATGCACACTTGTTGAATAAACCTAAAGATAAAGAAGAAATGTACAGATAATAAAAACAAATGCTAACATTTACTGAGCAATGCTTAAGTATCAGTCACTGACAGAACAGATATTTATTTTCCTTCATAGTTGAGGGAAAATGGTCAAGCCACTGTACAGAAAGCCCCTTTAATAGTCAAAGAAATGCTATGTTGAGCTGTAATTTCTTGTGCAGAAATTGAGGAAGACAGTTGCTTGAAAGGGGTAGCATTGGGGGCAGAGAGATTCTGGTAAATTCACAAAAAGAGGATCAATAAAAATACATATGAGGGTACTTCAAAAAGTTTGTGGAAAAATGGAATTGAAAGATAATATGAATCTTTCCATGAACTTTTTAGAGTACCTTTGTATATATAACTCTACCAAATGACTGAGAAGATTTATTCATTAAGAGAAAAAAATTATAAAAATCTCTCACCTGTTGCATGTGTCTACTTGTTCGTTTCTGAGGCTGATAGATGAGCCACGTATATATGACCGGGTCAATATTAACTGTTAGCCCTTGTACACTGCCAAGAAGTACAGCACCTAAAAACAAGATAACAAGATTTTAAAATTGTTATAATTCTTCATAAAAAATAATAAGCTTGGTATCACTTTACACCAAGTAGGATAGCTATAATAAAAAAGACAAACAATAACAAGTGTTGGCAAGAATGTGGAAGAATTCAAACCCTTACGCACTGCTGCTCGAAAGGAAAAACAGTGCAGCCACTTTCGAAAATAGTATGGCATTTCCTAAAAAAATAAAACATATACTTACAATATGACCCAATAATTTCATTCCTAGGTATAAGCCTAAGAATTGAAAGCATATGTCCACATAAAATCTTGCACTCAAGTTTTCACATCAGCATAATTCATAATAGCAAAAAAGTGAAAACAGCACAAATGTTCATGGATTACTGAATGGATAAACAAAATGTGGTATATCCATACAATGGGAAATCATCCATCCATAAAAAGTACTGATACATGATACAAAATGGATGAACCTTGAAAACATCATGCTAAGTGAAATAAGCCAGTCACAGAAAAACCACATGTTGTATGGTTCCACTTATGTGAAATAGCCACAACAGGCAAAAGTACAGAGACAAAAAGTAGATTAGTAATTGCCAGGGCCTTGAGAGACAGGGAAGTGGAAATAACTGACACATGGTTCCTTTTGAGAGTGATGAAAATGTTCTGAAATTAGAAAGTAGTGCTAGTTGCACCACGTTGTGCATATACTAAAATCCATTAAATTATGCAATTTTTAAAAATTAATTTTATTACATAAAAATTATATCTCCTTAAAAGTACATTTATCTTTAAAAAATAATAATAGGCTTTATTTTTTAGGCAAAGAGCAATTTCTATATTGGCCACGAAAATGAAATATTACACCCTTTTTATTTACATTATAAAAATTAATTCATATTTGAAAGGAATCATTATTACAACCATTCAATAAACCATTGTAAATTACTTTTAATGTTAAATGTAAAGAGAAAGAGCTGCCTAAATGAAATGCAGGCTAATATTCTGACAAAAAAAAAAAAAGCTGAAGTGTAACAAGTTGAAATTCCACACTACTAACTAAAATATTTTTATCTCTCTCTGGTAAAAAGTAGCTTACATAGAACTTAGCTAAAGCAGAATGTCCCATTTTGGGCCCCTGGGAGAAGTAGCATGACAGGCTATACATGCCTGTGCAGGTTATGCATATCTGTAAATAAGCTTTTGCACTTCTACATATATTTTTCAGTATAAATATCATTAGCTCCACTATGATGTAAGAAACAAGGGAAGGGGCCGGCCCGGTGGCGCACTGCTACAGTGCGCCTCTTGGGAGCACGGCAACGCTCCCGCCGAGGGTTCAGATCCCACATACAGACTGGCTGCTCACTGGCTGAGCGAGGTGCGGGCGCAACACTGAGGGTTGCGATCCCGTTGCCGGTCCCGGTCTGGTACGGGAGCGACACTGAGGGTTGCGATCCGTTGCCGGTCACGAAAAAAGACAAAAAGGAAAAGAAAAAAAAAGAAACAAGGGAAGGAGTCAGTTTTGTTATCAGCTGTATATCCAGTATCTAGAAAAGCACCTGCCACAGGATAAGAGCTGGAAAAAAATGTCTGAATAAATGGTAGATAGGTTCTCAGGTTAGCTGAAAAAAGTTCATTTGTTGTGTTATGTTACAGTTTATCTAAACCAGTACAATTAATACTGAGTCCTATTAAAAGTGATCCACACAGAGATGGAGATAAAAGAATGGAAGAGGAAGAGGAAGAGAACTCCCCCCCCTTTTTTAAAGTTTGCACAGAATTTTCAAATAAGCAAAATTTGCATATGTCCTCTTATTCCACCCTGTCATTCTCCCAGGGCCCCAGAATCAATATAAATCTTTGGGCAGCATGCTAAAATAACATAAGCAATGCCCCCTCCCATGTATCAATACATGTGTTGCTGAGCAATGACTCACTCAAGTACATGTCAGGAAGAAAAGATGGGAGAAGCTAAATATAAGATTAAAGAAGAAGATTAAAAAGAAGATTAAAAATCAAAGTCAATTGGAGAGTTCTAAGATGGCGACAGGTCTGGAGCGGCCGTGACAGGAGACAGCGTGATCCTGTGAGCCGTGCGCTGTGATACCAGAGTACTGATTGCATTTCCAAGAGCAACAAAAGGCAAATAATTCTTTCAACAACGATCCTACATCGACAAACAAGCGGCAAAAGCTTCGAGGTTTTGGGGCCGACACAGAGGAGGACTCCTGAGAGCGCCCAAGCCCGGCTGCGGGAACAAGCGATCAGCCCAGACAACAAAGGCCAGGAAAGCCTGCAAAGGACTACGCAGAGGCGGAGTGAAGCGCGCCAGACAGGCCCAACTCTGCGACCTCTGTGAGTCACCCCCAGCACAGCCCCACTTGCGGGGCAAAGCCCGACTGCTCCCCACCCGCCTGGCCCCCGCCCACCACACCAGGCTAGGTGCCAACATCAAAGCTGCCTCCATTTTCTCGGGTGGGGGTGGAAAAGGCCGGCTTAGGGAGGGCAGGACAGCCATCTCTGTTTAGCGTGACTCCTCACTGAGACGTGCTATTTGCTTACCTTGACACGGGGCACCCCG